TTAATTACAACGCCTAGTCGGATTTAAATACATCCAACATGGCGGACCAACATTTACACTCAAAAACGTCATTTTGTGATCTTAATCAATTAGATTAGAGTTGCACGAAGAAATGGGGAATTGAAGATATCTCTTCAATTTCCCATTTTTCTGGCTCTCGGAACTCTCTAATATAAAATATTTTGAGGGTATAACTTTTATTCATGAGCTCGGCGGAGGGGTTTAGGCTCATTTACAGGTAGTGTGCATCCCTTTGATTCTTGAAGATCATTCTCCATGCAAGTCGCCATATTTGTTGATGCGGTTTGTTAGTTTACATGTTGATGCGTTCTTTTCTCGTACACACGTTGCGAGCATGCGCATTCCTAATTATAAACAATGTTCACGGCATTAGCAAGACGAACGGTTTCAAACGTCGTGCTACTGCCGTGTCGAATACAATTTCCATTCGAAGTCTTCTGCCGAGCGGAAATCAAAATTGGTTTCAAACGTCGTGCTTGTGCTGTGTCGAATAAGAGATCAGTGAAGAAAGCTTAAGGCTGGCCAACAAGATTCGCTAAACAGTAAATCTACGGACTGAATAGTTTTGGGGAAATTTGCAGATGTATCAACTTTACCCGCTATGATTGACCTTTGTGCAATAAGTCCCATATAAAGCCTTGTATTGGGCTACTAGGTAAAGTCTTGATATATCACCATATTATGCACGTTTAGGGCAACAACTTGCATTAAACGCTAGGTCCTTAGAGTTTTGGAGAATGTGTAAGTTGCATGTGTTCCATTTGAGCTGCTAGTTTCACTTGGTGCAGCAGTCCCGAAGAGCGCATCGAAGTAAAGCAATACACACTCTTAGCCTCAGCCAAAAGGAGGAAATACAACTTCTTAACCCTAAAAGGGCCGGGGGGGGGCGGAATCCGCCCCCCCCCTCAACATTTTCCGCGATAGCTTCTAAAAAAATTTTTTTCGCGACCCGAGCTATTATGACTTTTTAGCCTCGAGCTTTGCGCATCTTTTGATACCAAAAACATAAAAATCGGACCACGGGTTTGCACGTAGCGAAAAATTTTCCGGCGCTACGCGCCGTGAAAACTGAATTTTCGCATATACGTCGTGTACACCGAGCAGAATTGGCATTCATACATATGAATAATTAATTAGCCATAATTCCAAAACCCTTTGACCTATAGTCATGAAATTTCTTGGGCATGTTGAGGAAGAGTTGTTCTATGCATGTAGTGAGTTTCAAAAATTTTCGTCACTCGATGGCCGAGATCTTAGGGGGGGGGCGGAATCCGCCCCCCCCGGCTGAGAGATGGTCAAAATAACCCGGCCCCTTTAGGGTTAAATCGGGAATTAAAGAGAAAAACAACCAATAGGATGCCCCGACAAATGCATACATGAGAACAAGGAAAAACAGTCCCCAAATTGCAAATGATGTTGGCAAAAATGATGAAGTTTAAGACAAGTGGAAACTACACTTCGAAGACTCTACAACAAACAATGCATAAATGACGAGAAAGACACAAATCGTGTTCTCAAATTCCTTGTGATATACAAAGCCAGTGGGCCTAATCCTTCACAAACAAAATCGAAAGTTCCCGGATATGTTAACATCACTGACAAAGAACTAAAGGCGGCAGGGTAAAGTGAAGATCAACATGTCATCTTTCGTTTTCTTTTCATTTTTGGTGGGTTGACCATTGACTTTTCGAGATATTCTCAACCAAAAAAGACGACCCCTATTTTCCCCAAAGCGGAATAGTATCCATCTTGAAAAACGATCCCTCCACAACATGGCAAAATAGCGCCACTTTCGAGCCAAATAGCATCCAAAATGCTTAGAATTGGAAGCCCCAAGTCCGGGCAAGAGGTTCATTACCATATCTCTTTAATTCCCCAATTTTACGGCGCTCAGAACTCTCTAAATAGAATATTTTGAGAGTATAACTTGTATTCATGAGCTCGGCGGATGGATTTAGGCCTATTTACCGATGTGCACCCATAGTAACGGGGGGGGGGGGGGGGCTGGTACCATCTGTCGATGTGGGCGCTGTTCAAAACCGACGATTATGCACACTAACGGACAGTATATGGTGCTTTTAACGGCGATACATGAGCGAAATTACCAAAAAAAAAGGCACCCGAAACAACCGATGGCACAAAAAAAGGCCACCACTCACTTTTAAAAAGGGCACTTGTTCAGAAAAAAAGGCACTTCCTAAAAAAAGGCGCTGGTGAAAAATAAGGGCATTTGAATAGAAAAGGGCAGTCTTTGCGAAATATTTTGGAGCCCCCCCCCCCCCCTGCTGGCTACGCTTATGCATCGGACCTAGAGGGAGACTTTTAAAGAGATAAACAGACTGCTGGAAAGCAGACAACAACAGATAATGCATTTACTCATTTGCCACTGTTAGCAAGATAACACAATATAGAAGAAAATGGCGGGACATCTAAAAGCACATGGCAACACTCAAACTCTCGTTAGACATATGGAGTGAACGCAATAGGTCAGGTACACTGTAAAAACAAAGTGTTACTTAACGTTTGTTTTTCTGTTGAAACTTCTGTAAAATTACATTAGATATTACTGTTTTTTCGGATTTTTCTGTAAATATACAAATGTGTTCCTGCCTACGTACACTCTAAAACAAGATTGCCTTACATAACCAATCATTGGTTGAAATAACCAACAACTGTTTATGATGTGTTTTTAAGTAATCGTGTGACCTAGGTGTGATTCTTTTTCCGTTTTAAGAGTAAGGCCGATTGTCTAAAAACCGTGACCTCATTTTTGTCAGAGTTTGTCCCATATTACAAAATAATATGACGCCGATAATCTCTATTATTATTTTCTCTCAAAATTCAACATTTTATATTATAAGAATAAATTATCATTATATTGACATTTTCTGGGCTGGGTTGACAGTTTGTTTTATTATTGTTGTTATATTGGGCGGCACACCTTATTAGGGCGATAGTAGTACTGTCGCCCTGTTATTGAATCCGCCATTTTCACGAGGGCTAGGGTTAGAGGGGATTTTGGCTAGGGTACATTTGTTGCACAAGTCTATGGAAGTGTCGCCCTATTGTGGTTGTTAGTGTAAATATTATTGCCGAGGGGGGAAGTATATACCGGAGAGCTTGGACAAAAGTCAAAAACCGTCGTTGCACCGAAGAGAATCAACATACAATTCATCTCGCATCGTGAACCGAGCCGGAAATTGTGAGCGAACCACATTGATAAGCACTTGCCACTCATGTTGGCAATCAAACCTGCCTTCCCTCGTTAATGAGAAGTAACTTTTCGCTTGGGTAAGTATGAACAGAACGATGCATGCAATCGAAAAGAAATTGTCTTATCATGTCTAGTATTGATCGTTTCTGCTCTCTAGTCTGTAACACATCAGTTAACAACACGGCAATTGCCCAGTGTTGCGTTCAGGGTAGTACACAACCAAGAGAGAGCAACAATTAAGCAATGTCTACATCTCCATACGTACATAATATATATGTATACATATCTATCCATCTGCAAAATGAAGCAATACACTAAAGACCTTGGAAAAACGACGCTGTAATAACTGTTCTTGTATACAGCTTGCCATTTTAAATGTCAAATAAAAAAAACTGGGAGGTCTCAAGCGCTCATTATAACTATATTTCTTGGGTATTGCCGAGAACTTTCTCGGCATTTTCCCTCAGATAAGACCCTTTTTCTCAGCGTGTGCAGGAGCTTTCTTTTAAACATTTTATTACATTTAATTTAGGGGGAAAATCTGAAAAAAGTAAACACTTGAAAACCAAACAAAAACACAGAAAGTGAAAGAAAATATAGGGGCAAATTCATGTTTCTTTATCCACATTCTGGTTAAGTACCTCAAAGAAGATACATTGACTTGTCTCGACGTGGTTGGAGTGGTATTTTGATACGGGGATTTGTTTCAATCTATACTAATACCATTAATTGGACGTTACCTCCTTGAATGCGCCCACATTGGATACAAGATGAATTTTAAACAAAATTATGTTAATTGTAAAGAACATTCAAAAGTAAGATGTAAATGTCCACACAACCATCATTTAAACAGTTGGGTTTTTTTTGTATTTATTTGTTTGTGTTTTTCTTGCGAAAACCATGCTATAACAAATTTCAAAAATCAAGCTTTTGGTTGCTAGTTGTGAATCATGCACACACACTGCATCGTATTTTGCGGTTCTGCGAGAAACAACACGGGTGCTGTGCTGAGACACACACAAACACACCCACACAGACTTGTTTCACATACGTAGTGTGGACTTTCCTTTCTTTTCGTGTAGTTAAGGAACACCAGTGGAAAAACTCATTTTTCTCAAACTGTGAAAACTCTTACAACCCAATTTTTTTTCTATGATTCCCTATAGTGTTTCTCTTCATTCTGCTACCGATAAACCTAACCCAAAAATGCCTCTAAACCTGTTTTCCAGAAATGGGGAAACACTGTGTGGACGTGGGCAAGTCCACACAACGTCGGTGCTACCTACATTATGTGGACGTGTTTTGTTCGGAAGTCCACACTGCGTATGTAAGACAAGCTCACCCACACACACACCCAAACGACGTTAACAGTACATTGAATGGGCACACCTGGAAATACGTATGCGTATGCCACAAAATATCCGCCTCTTACAATATAAACACCGGGTTTGTTTTTCTTCTTATTCGCGGGAACGGATTAGTTCCTTTTCAACCAGACCTTTGATATAGGATAAGTAAACAATCCAAAGGATAACCAGATTCCGGGATTTCGGGCCGTAATTTCCCTTTCAAGCTGCATAAATTTAACCTTAACTATTCTTTATTTGGCACGCCACATGATGCATGACGTCATGTGTTATGTTCACTTGCCGCGACTGCTACCGTATTGACGCGTTGGGATGTAGGTGTACTCGTTGATATAACGTGAGATCAACCTGGCGGATTCACGTTTACTGCATCTTGGAGAATGGACGTGGTAATAGCAATGATTCTGACGGCATCAACACTAACAGGTAAGCTGACTGTTTACCCATAACAACAATTTATCTGATGCCAAGCCTTGAGCAAGGTATCTAGTCAGTTAAACTATATAAGAAAAGCACTTATTGCAAGTCCACTTTAACTATCGACATTTGTTGTACTGTATATCTATTCCTTCAAATTTTAATCACTTTAATGCGTAAAGTTTCGTGTAACTCATTAACAAAGTCTGCAATTTCATTCGTTCAAAGTCCTGTTAAGAACTGTTAATTATTAAAGGTTTGAAAGGATTGTTTGTTTTTTATATATTGAATACCAAACTGGGTCATTTTCATATGCATTTGTATGCTGCCTGATCGAAGATTTCCAAAAACGTCATTCAGTTCAAATTGTCATTGAGTTATATGAATTTGCATAATGATTCTATTCGATTAGAACTGACAGGGACTTTAACAGGCGATTAATCCATTTAAGTGGTTTGAATAAAATGCCTAGGTTTTTGTAATGCAGGATAACGAAAGAAAAAGGGCCACTTAAATATATTTGTTTTCAAGTGGAAGATATTGTTCTAGTCTTTATGTACTAAACTTTCATTTGATGTTCTTTACTATTATCAAAGGCATTTCCTGTTCTCAGTGAAAAAAAATTCACAGACAAAAATAGTTCAAATAACACGAATGATATTCCATACCCGCATCCGGCATCAATGGGTCTTCCTGCCTGTTGCAATATAATATGTTTTAATAAAGTATTTTAGTGGCATATGTAGAGGTTGCAAGTTGCAGCCCCCCCCCCCCCCGTTCAGCCGTTGCATAGAAAATATATACATTTTGTACTTATTTATGAGAATGGCGGTTGATTATTTGCATAGAATGCATAAAGTACACACATTTTCTTCGTATAAATGGCATTAATTAATTCGTTGACCCTAGTAACATGGGTAAAGACACCTCGCTTGATACGTTTCGACAAATTCCTGCGGAGAACATAGTAGATGTAATTATTTGTGAAGTTGGCGTATGCAAATTTGCAAACATACTTAAGTTAGTTAATTTACATTTTGTTGCACAATTTTCAGTGCTTGTCTCGTGCCATCAAGTCTGTTTCATCGGCTGGGAGTGCAACCCACAATCTGGTATCCCGCTCCGTTGGTTTTTACCGTACAAAGATCCGTGCAAATGCACCGCTATACGTCTCGGAGGTGTGGACATTCCTGATTCGTCGTACCGGTCAGAAGCACCTCGCTATCTTGATAAGCTCATCATCAGTGAGGACCCCGCTGAAATACAGACATTCTACACTTGCAAAGGTAGGACTGGATCTTATCTGCATGTATTAGAAATACTTCCCAAGCAATTAATTCGTTAAGGCCCTACTCTCTTTTACTTTAAATATATATAACATAACATACATTTCTAGTAATCGGGTACGACCACCATTTATTCACTTTACAGGAGATGACAGGGCAAAACAAAGACGCAGATGTCGTCTTTCTTCCCGTGTGATAAAAACATATACCATTTTTCTAGAACATCGGGTCCAATTCGTGAGTTAAGTCATCATAAGGTCGTTAAAAGAGAACACCCCCCTCCCTCCGATCACTTGGTTTAACAATACCATGTACATCTTAATCTCATGCGTCTTGTTTACTGTCGTTTTTGAGAAAAGAGAATCACCGTCTTTTCAGCACCGACAAAACAATCGCGTTTTTCAACAGAAACACATGCCTCGAGAAAACAATGTACATGCATTTCAAAGTGTTCTCAAAATGTGCGCGTTTAATGTATGAATGCTTGACATGTGGGGGCATTGTTGTCCTTATACCTTTAACAAATACTATCACTTTAGAGACAAATTCACGAACTAAAACAGAAAATGTGCAATATAATTTCTTTGCAGTCCAAGTCTGCCTATGTGATTGCACTTAACTGCATTTCAGGGGCGGGAACCAGTCAGTTGTAAATCGTTTCAGCTATGTATACATTTCCAACGCGTCGAGTACAGTCCATGTTCAACGTAAACACGTATAACGTGAAACCTTTTTTTTTTTCATTCAAACGGTTTCCGACTAATGATACTTATACATCGCAATTTCCGTGTCATCCTTTATCATTTGTCAGTGACGAAAAGTTAACAGTAATTCGGCAAAACTGAAAAATTATCCCCTAAACTGTCGCTTGATTTGATATTGGGCAAAATAAAAAAAAAAACATGTTTAGCGTCCTGCTTCTTTGACAAAAAGGAAGGAGGAGGCCCTTTTTTTTTTTTTTCAAAATGGCCGCCCGACACATTTTTCAAGACAACGCGGCCGGGCTATTTTTCAATATGGTTACCAGCTTTTTTCAAAATGGCCGCCACTTGGACTCATTGACTTTTTCCACAGCTTTATACACGGTATAGAAGTCTAAAAATACGATTTCTTTCGTCGGAGATCGTTAAAATTTATCAATTTTTGTCTTTAAAAAAAAAAAAAAAAAAAAAAAGGAGGCGGCCTCTAAAAAGGAAGCGGGCGGCGACGCTAAACATGTTTTTTTTTTTACTTCGCCTTCTGACCCAATACTTTTGTACTACACGACACGGACAAACACAAATTCAGTTGTCATACTTTGAGTGCGCATGCGCGCATGCTAAATTAGCGGATGAAACATACGTGACATGTTAAAAGAGCCTTAGTGCATTGAACCCAACAAATTGGCATTCCTGAAAGTGGTCGATGAAAAAAAAAATTTAAAAACAAGCGCGATCGCGAGTGCACAATAAGCTCTGGCCCGGTTCCGTAAAATTTCACTACATATGCAAAATAGACGCGCATGCGCATCGATCGAAACAAATGGGCATGTTCCGAAAACTTTCACCAAGAGTGCACTTACCAACGACGGCATTGCATTTTGTCAATTGTAGGTCAATTGGTAGTTATATATTATGGGAAACTCAGGACTCGACCGACCGGCCGACCGACAGACCACAAAGTGACGTGTATAGAAGCACCTTTCAGAGCTTAAAAAATGTGGGGTATCCGACATACTATTCTTCTTTTTCTTCTCCTTGTTCTTCTTTCTCAAATTTCATGGATTTTGTTCATGTTTTATTCTCGGTGTTACTGCCACAAGTCATGTGACGGCATCTTAAACGTACATTTTCGAACGCAGGGTATCTAGAGAACTACAGGGCCGACTAGGTTGAAAAGCGTGACTATATAGTACAGGATGTTAAGTGGTTGAAAATTGAAAAGCGTTAAACGGTTAGTTGCTTTATTTTTTGAGTGTTGTTTTACAAAATCATGACAATGATTAAACGGTCAATAGTCTTGCCACCATTTTTTTTTTATTTAGGTTCGGCAATTAAGCAATGCACCTAGGAATGTTAATGCGTCCTGGGGAAAGAGTCATTGTTAATGCGTCCTTGGGATCGTCATTGCCTGTTTTCCAGCACCATTTTTGCTAGCAACTCTTAAAGCCCCACCAGCTTAAATGAATCGCGTGAGAAGGGGGTCAGGGTCCGCACCAGGAATCACACTACGCAATAATAATGCCGAGGTAACACTTCTTCGTGTAAAGCATGGTCCCCCTCCACCCCCTCGCTCACCGCCACAAAATACACCACGGACTGTTAACCAGTCTGTATTAAATGCTGACCGTTTTGCTGTTTTTCAAAGTTTTTTTGTGTAAAACTGTAAAACAAAAGAAAACATTGATCGTTAAGCTATAATGAATTTTACTAAACTTATAAAACGGAGAAACCGTATTTATCTTAATACCGCTTGTCGTTTTATACAACTGTAAAACGACAAAACGGTTGATGGTTCGTTTACTGTTTTTGTTTTGGAGGAAATCAAAAACGGTAAAACGAAATAAAGGTATGCCCCATGATTTTTATGGTATATAAAGATGGGCGAGTCAAAAAAGCACGTTCTTCCATCTGAAAAAAGGAACTACTGAAATTGATCCATAATTTCAGAAGTTATGCATAACCCATTTTACAGAGTTGGTGGAATGCCATCGGAAATATTGAGCCTAATGAGAATTACAGATTACACACAAGCAGAATATAAGGAATATTGGTCGTCTCTTTTTTTTCCCCGAATTATTGATGGTGATTTTTGTATGTTTTCTCTTGCAAGAGCTCATTCATTCGTGGAGGTGGGAAAACGTGAATGTTTCAGTGTACTCAATGGGTATTCATCAGTTTGTAGAAAGTAAATGATTGATGGTGGACAGATGAGTTTTGGAATCTTTTCTTTATTGGAATATACTTAACTTTTAAATTCAGTATGCAAAGTACGTGAAATGTTCACAGTTGAAAGTCAATAAGATGTACTCTATCCCATTTAAAAAAAAAATAAAATGGAGTGAGCCAAATATTTTTTTTTTAAATTGCTCACCCTGTATAGATATTATATTTAGAGTACTACACGGTAAAATTGATGTGTTGTAAATATTAATTGTAATGACGTTATAATGTCCTCTCTATGTGATATTTTAAAAGTGGCGTTTGTTTCATTTGTCCTTCGTTTTGCATATTTCACGAATGGAAGATGCTCAATTCCACATTCCTTGTGTAAGAGGTTTGGAAGATCAACTATATGTACCCGTAGATTTTTGAGAAATGTGTGACGTTATCGTGACGTCATCAAAATGCGATTTTTCAAAACATGGAATTTCCTATTGTCTTAAAACTTGGTTGAATAGTAGGCAAGCACTTTAAGTGACGTTAACAATTAATTTCTAAACGCATGTTTAAAAAGTTGGTATAATTAAACCGGTTTTAAATGCTTAAAATTAGATTTTGTATTTACGGGGTTTCAACAATTTAGACATGAAATAAAACAGGTCTTCATTCAAAATTAAACATTTGAACGATCAAAAAGTCTCATTTTTTTGCTTACACCATATAGCCACGGCAACGATCTCATGTAATTGGGGACAATGTTTTTGCAGCAATTGCCGCTTTTTGATACAGGAGTCAAGTCGCCCGTTAAGTCGCCTGCTTAAATTCAACGCCCATTTCTTGCTTGAGGACGCGTACACAATTTGAAATTGATGACCTGCTGATGACAACCGGTAGAATATTAGGATATGTTTTTTTTCAGGAAAATAATGCCATGCAAAAGAAAGAAAAAACTCAAACGAGGGTCTCCCATAGTGAGTGTCATGGTATATTGACAATGCTATACTGAATAAGCATTAGTGTAAACGTGGTACTTCATTTTTTTATGACACTTGGGAAAACAAGCCAACATTTTTTTTTTTAATTTATGTTGTGTGATATCATTCGCGTACACAGTGCATATACAGCCGCTAAAATGATTTATCTTTAAGCCTGCACATAAGCAATTAGCCGAACTCTGATGCTTTGCATCTCAATCCTGTATATATGTAAATGTCTGCGATCTGGCATAACATCTACATGTTTCTGAAAAAGCCTTAGTACTTGCAGCACAATCGGCGTTGTTAACACCAATTAGTTTGATAGCTGCAGCCTTGCAGTGGCGTCGCCAAGAGGGGGGGGGGGGGTGCAGGGGGGCACGTGCCCCCCTGGAAAACCTAGTGCCCCCCCCCCAGTGCCCCCCATCAAATGCTGGTGCCCCCTATCCTCTGCAAAATTCTGCGCGTTGTTAAAATCATTACCTCAAAAATATCAATTTCTTGAGATATCTTCAGATCGAATTTAGCATCAAATGTGGCACCATTTTGCATCTAGCCCATCCTCCGTATGCGAAAATTTTCCAATGGGGAGGGGGGCACCCCCTCCCCTTAGACCCCTCCCCCAGGACGGCGATCCGTATCCACCTAAGTGCCCCCCCCCCCCATCAAATGCTGGTGCCCCCCCCCCCTGTGCCCCCCAGACTGAAAAGTCTGGTGACGCCACTGCAGCCTTGGTCACTTGAATGAAACTTTAATCAAACATGGTCACTTGAATATTATGAGCTGTTTATTTTTATTTAACTATTATTTGGTTTAGAAACCAAACTTTATGTAATCGAAAGGTTTGCCTTTGTAATTAACGGTGATGCAAGTGATCACCGGTGAAATTATATGAACACAGAAGAAAGACAATCCATCATCTAAATGTTAAAACGTTTTAGACAGATTGGACAAGTTTTGATTTGATATTTTAATCTACGGGATGACAACACGAAATGAAGATTTGATTTTTTAATCTACGGGGATGACAGCACGAAATGAAGTCTCGACAAAGGCTTTGTTTATTATTATAAATGGTTTATCTTATTCGACATAGCAGCCCAGGGGCTGAATAACATCAAAATGTACATTATTTAAAAAATACGTTAGTTCAAGTAAATGTATGTGCACTCTATCACAGTGAATTCTACTGACTAATTCCTTGGACGTAAACAACTCTGTGCCCTAGTTCTGGGAGCGTTGTGTGTTTCGACATAGGAGGCGTTCTCAATAAAATGCACGTATAAGGGCAATAACGGCATTCATCGATTTTCCAAGGTCGTAGGTGTTTTGTTCATTATCGTGTACACGTTAAGATATGCATCGCTGCCATTTTGATATTACAGCATCGCTGGTCTCTATATTTTTACTATGGAACAATGATTACCAAACCATAGTTCTCTCGCGGTGTTTATACGGTCGTTGTTGCCATTGCTCCTTAGGAAAACATGTACACTGTCTTGTGTGTATCACTTTCGATATATGTGATCTGGTACACTGAACCCTCTGGAGACATGTGCACAAAACATTGTATTCCTCTCCACAAAGCACTTTTGATAGGTGAATACGTCTCCACAAGGTTATCAGAATATATATTGCATTTTAAGTAAGGGATATTAAGTCCGAATTTCAGCCCAGGAAATTCATTCTGGTTAAAACAGCAGCATTTTTAAAGTACATTTTCAAACTCGAAAACGTTAGTGCTTCAAAACAAAGAAATGACACCACAAGGATACAAATTCCAAAATGGCTGTTTTAGTTCGTGTGAAATATGAATTTCTTGATCAACAAATAGGCCTACTGAGTTATTTAAACCTAAGCAAAACGGACTGTACTTTGCAAAACGTTGTCTGAGTGTGGCCGCTGGTGCTACCTGTTTTGAAGCTAATTTACTTAATTTATTCCTTTCTAACGTCAATGGGGGAAAGGTTCAAAATAAAAGGGGTAATAGTTACAAACGGATAAGTTAGAAGAATTCCTCCTGCAAATGGAGTTTTGAGCCTTTAGCAATCGATATGTTTGCTGATTTCTTTTGGGAGATTGTGTTATTATGATCGTCCATGAAGGCATAGGAAAATAAATGTAAGATGTTGAAACTCATGCCAGTTGCAAAGGAAGAGGGAGTTTAAGAAGAACTATGTGACCAGGGTAACTCAAATCACGCTTATAGTTGCAACCTGTTCATCTTTTTGATAATAAGTCAGCTTCGTTTGAGGTGGTAGTTAAGCTGACCAACACCTCAGGATTAGTAATTCCCACTTTTCATCTCAAACCACAGCTGCGGCCTGCGCGACAATAAAAACATGAAGTAAAATTGTTGACAACAATCGGTTGAAATTTTAATTTTTGGCTCGTTGTGACTTTTGGACCGCAAAGTTAAGTTTTTCTTTACCAAAAAGGTATTTATGAATAGGAATACAGTATTAAACACTCTATTAAAGACCAGTTAGAATTTGGATGCTTTAATTCGGCTCGGGTAATTGTCAGCATCCAGACTCCAACCGGTCTTAAAAAGAGTGTTTATAACCGGCCAAGCAAATATATATTCCGTTGTTAAATTATCTTGCAATTTACCCCTTCCATTCTATTTTTCTGTAATGTCAAGATCATTTTGATCTCTACTATACGATAAGAGATGGTCTCGTGATCTTTCTGCAGGAATTGGGTCATATCCAAAATAAGGAAGATTGTCATTTGCCTTGAACTTCATTATTATTTGGAATTATAGTTCGAAGCTCGCAGTGGCTGATCTCATGCATAAGCTAAAAACGTAGTCTACAGCAATAAAACGTACCTCGCAATATGTCGGACGATTAGACGATTTCCGTGGCAGAAACCAGTTTAAAATCCAATCACTGCCAAGTTCGGTACGAGGGGATACAAACAATTAAAAGGCAGCGAGTTAACGACAGAAAATACTTAATTGCACTAGTTGTTAATATATGTATTGTTTATTTAATGTACAATCATCGAACTCCTTGGCACCTGAACGATCAAACAGTCTTGGATATTCGGATCTATGGTATTATAATTATACAAGTTCTCGTCTTGGCGCGATTTTAACTGTTCATCCGACGGCCCTCGATTTTTATCGAGCAGATGGAGGGGGTATCGTAACTTATACACTTGAAAAGTTGACGAGTCGATAGTAGTAGCCTGTTTGAAGTATACAACAATGTATTACCCTTAGGCATTTGGAAATGTAAATACATTAAATACATACATTCCAAAGTTACGAAGGCCTTGCCAATTATACATTGCGACACGTAATACTACTTCCGATAATCTCTCTTACAGAATGCAACAGCACCTACCATTTGGTGCCCTATCGTCGCAAGTTTCCATTCCCTGCCTTTCATGACGCGTTCGTATTGGACTTCTCCGTGCAGGCCCGCAATGCCGCAATGGTCGTCTTGTCCACGGACGGTACAGAGGCAGGCGATCAGTACCAAATGGGTAAGAAGAGCAAACGGTTTGGGGCAAGATATATAACGTCACCAGAAAAAAAAACGTAGAATCTCAAATAGCTGAGTCGTGACTGGTGGTCTGCCCTCGAATGGGCATAACAAATCAAATGTTTGCAATGTGGTTTCTTGAATATTCAGTGAAGAAAAAATCAAATCGAAAGTAGTTATACAGGTGGTGGTTCTTATTCAATATTCATAACTATTTAAGACTTTTTATCCATTAATATTGGTCAAGAGCCCGTCATGTGCGTGGTGGCGTGGTTATGGGCAGTTCGGCCTTTACAAAACACTTTATGGTTAAGATTGTTTACTTTTCCTACTTCAAAGGCCTGGTTGAAAGCAAACTACTAATGTCTAAATGTCATCAAGAAAAGACGGGAAAGGTGGTTGTTTACATTGGACGCTGCAGACATTTTGTGGCATACGCATACGTGTTTCCAGTCATGTCAGTTTCATGTACATCACACGTTGTGTGTGTTTGGCACATAGTACACGCAGAGCCAATACACTAACATTGTTTCTTGCACGTCCGCAGAATTGGACACCAAAATTCTTTCTCAAAAGAATTACATAAAAAACGCCCATTTTGTAAGGATGGTTGTGTGGACGTATAAGTCCTATTTTTTCAGTGTTCTTTCCAAATACATGTAACATTATTTCGTTTGAAAGGCTTTTCTTAGCCCTATTGGGCGCATTACATGAAATAATGTCCCACGTTTGAAACCGCAAGTTCGTCCACTGATTAGCACACGTCGTGAGTCGTTGAAGCTACCTGTCAGCCATCTTACCGCGCAGTACTCGCTCAAAATATGCCATTGACGATCTGGGTTTTTGGTCGTTTTGTAAGCGCGTTTTCTCTACGGATTTTCAAGTAAGAAATCGTCAGCAACACCACGAAGTTACTCCCATCTATACACCAGTAAAAACTAACAATTGGAGAAAATGGCATCTAAAGTTAAATGCCTTCTAAAACAACACTTTGCGTCAAACGCCAGAGAATTTTCAGTTGGGTTTCTCGTTGTGGACACTTGATGAATTGAATTCATTATATCTGCTGTTTTTTTCACCCGTTTGTGTATTAAATCAACAATAAATAATGGAAAAAAATATGAGTGTTACTATGGAAAAAGAAAATTGTCACTTTTGCGCAAAAGATTATGGGTAATTAGCTTTATTCTTGAAGAAAAGCTCGAGAAGCTTTAAAACTTCGTGCAGTGCTGTGTCAGGCCTTGATAATTAATGTCTAAAAAGTAACAAAAAAAAACAAAAACAAAAAAAAACCCTGAAAATCGACAACAAAATATGGTTTAACACAAAGAGTGTTACTTTGTGGTGTTTGTGACGAAATTGCAACGGAAAAATCACTTCTTCCACCACAATCGCGTAAATTGTCAGTAACGACACTGGTAAAGGCACGCGCCTGTTATTTATAATATATCAGATTGAAACGGGACCTTAAAGTAGGTCATGTTCCGTTGTGTTTTATTGACAACATTACTTGTTTGGATTCAGGACATCAAACTGAATAGAAACACACACAGTTTACCTAATTCCAAACCTGTACTACAGAACTCGTTTTCTGAACTTTTTTTTCAGAAGTGTAACCCTCAACCTATTAAACCGCTATTCCTTTGGTCTGAATTCATAGTTCTTGGAATCGGTGGGGGCATCGCTATCAGACGTTGCACGGAGTGCAGAAAACTCCATTTCGTGTCATCTCCAGGCGTACTGAGCGAGCAGGAGATGCGACGCTTCTGGCTGCGTCACGACAACGGCACCTTCGCCCTAGGCAAGCACCAGCAGGCAGCCTACTTCAAGTGGACCGACCCAGAACCCAAAGCTGCCCCGTTGTTCTATGGCTTTGCCAGCTGGGACTGGCCCCAGACCTGGGCGGCCCATCATGCCTGTCACTAAAAGCCTGCGGAATTGGTAGAAGGAGGTGTGGGCGTTCCTCGCCAACCTTCTCGTTATTAAATGTTCCATTTTTTTTCTCGTTGACATCGTTTACATGTCAGAAATATTGGGTGTCTGACTGTATATACACGACACACACACATACATGTTTGCCTTTTAAAACTAGCGGTAAAACTAGCCTTGCAAGATATATAGAGAATTAACATGCTCCACGGATTATGCCCCCCCCCCCCCTTAAAAAAAGTCTTCGGTTTCTGGTATGGAGCTTGCCCCAATAGGGTGCGGCGATGTGGCTTTGTTTTCCTCTACTTTTTTTTCTTCTTCAAATGTCAGCTGATGTTGCAAATGATGACGCTTTGATCCCCTTAAAGTTCTCAAAAATATCCTTTAGGGTGGAGCTTGAGGTGACCTCAGCAAGGCATAAGGCTTGAGAAATCTGCACCCATAGGCCAACGATCTCGACGGACACGACAATTCTTCGGAAAATTTGGATAGTCAAGACAGAAATCAGAGAAAGCGGTAACGTCAGACGATACAGCGAAATCGTGCATGGGCTGCCAGGCCGGTCATAAGTCTGCTCCCTTACATATTGCATTAATTATAAAGTGTTTACAGGTTCCAGATATACGACCATCGCTTCCACACTCACAAAAAAAATCACTATCTGCAAATGTTTCCCGACTATTCTGTGCAAAACAAATGGGAGCCAAGAAAGGCCCCATAAAGCTTATACTCGATTGTAAACCACATCTAAAAACACGTTAAAATTGCGCAGCAGCAGGATTTCGGTCAAATCGGTGAGATTGGCGGTATTGAAACTTCATCCGACATAAAAAAAAAAAAATAATAATGATATTTTGCCGACGCGCTTGGCTAAGGCGACGCCCGCGCATACCAGAAACCAAAGCTTGTTTTTAAGCTTGTTTTTTTACCGATGTTTTAGTTTACCACGAGTATTTTGCTAGAGTGCGATAGAAAACAAATGATTAATTCGAAATTAAATGATATGGTTTTAATATTTAAATGTAAATATAGTTTAATCCACTAGCACTGTTCTAAACTCCCTTCATTGATGTTCGACATTAACTATGCAACACGTTGGAACAATACGCGTATAGGGAGCAATGCGTATGATTGTGTGAACGACGTTGGTTGCTATGTAGATGATAGTTTACAACCGTTGTTTTGTCGTTTTGGGATTTGTATAGTCTGTAGGGCAAAAAGTTTACATTGATACAATCACGTGATGCACTTTTTCACTAATCAAGAGAAAGAATATGTAAGTCGTTATGTTACTCACATTGTCCGATGGTGTCTGGATGGTGTCAAGATTTAATTTTCAGGGGTGGTAATTTTGCATGGGATAAGTGTATACCATGTATATTGGCATACAATGGTAGACCATGGGAGAACAACAGTTGCCAAGACTAGAGGAGGTCCAAAAATAAAAGTGAAAATCATCTACAAAACCGATGAGGGTTCTTTATAAATTAATGTTTAGCATAAACAATAAGAGGTCCACGATAAAAGTGTTTATTTTTACGAGAGGGTATACTTGTTGGGTACTCGCACTAACAGAACAGTGGTACCCCACAAGCTGGTATTTGTCTGACAGTACCAGGGGAATTCTAATGAAGGATGATATGAGAATATTTATTGCAAGTCTCTCACAGACCACATTGGTATGGTTGTGTGTACATTTGTTCTAACACTGCATATGCTATGTGGACCTGTGAAAGAAGAGGTCCGCATACTAGTACATGAAGTATGAATAGGTGGATATTTTGGGACACAAAAGTAAATCTCTGTCTAAAAATCAGTTCAAGTAAAATGCTGGAGCAAGGAAATCCGTTGAAAAAAATGAAAAGGAACACTCAAGGAAATAACGATCGAAAATTCGGGTCGAAAGAATGTTAACGATGCAAGTAATTTTCCCCCGTTTTTAAGCTCTGGCAAGAGCTTCTACATGTCGTCGGTCGGTTTTTCACTCCGCGCGAGTGCAGCGACTTGCGTGGGAAATCTGGATATTTCAGCATCATTCCTGAAAACATTATTAATTAATACAGACATGTCACGAAAGGCGAAGAGTGGGCTTGGAAGTTTTGTGTCAACAATAATTAAAACTTCATGTTGGAAGCAATTTATTTATTCTCAAACAGCACACAGGAAGGATAGAACTACCAAACAATTTGATTTTTAGCATAGATTTCATTTTACCCTTGCCAAATACAGTTACGGTCAAAGGGTCATTAATTAAATTCCATTAAATTGTGTAATAAGAATGGACATCCTTGCCCTTAACAAATGGGAACGCTTCCATAAACCTAGAATCAAAACATCGTTGGTGCTCTTGCCAGACGACCTGAGTACGCTCGCCTAGACAATCCACTGTTTGTAAATACAATTGGAATGTTAGCCTCTACCTGAACAGGACACATTGTTCACATATTGGTATGACAACGCAAACATATTAGTGTTAAATCATAACGGAATCACATTGCTAATAAAGAACTCTAAACAGCACTTTGCAATTCCACCCCCGCAAATACAGTTGTAATGTTTGGTTCCAATCGATAGTCTGATAGATCCATAGTCTCAGGGTTCGATAGTCTAAACACAGAAGTGCCCATATACAGGGGTAAGTTAGTCTAAAAATGAAATAATGTACATTGACCCGAGCATTTTATGCCATAGCCGGAAGGTTCATTAGTCAGAAGTGAGTTAAATTAGTCCGAAGGTTCAATACTGCGAAATCAAATAATGTTCAATAGCCAGAAGGTTCATATTTGTCCCTTTCCATTCTGGGACCGTATTGACGATTCGGACGATAGAACCTCATCGTCTATTCGAACTATAAATATTTGGGTTATTTAGGCTTACTTTTTAAACGTACTAAAATAATGAAAAATTCGGAATATCAAGACTTCGGTCTTAAAAGATCCTTTGGACTTTCAATCTTCAGACTTAGGAACCTTCGGACCAACGAACCTTCAAATTATCTAATTTCGGACTGATGAACCCTTGGAATATCTAATTAGCGCTTGGACGATCGAGTGGAAACCGTCATATTACCATGATTAAGGCAGTTCTTTGTGACTATCACACTGCGATTATTAGGCCCAAAAAAATAAAATATTCGGTCTCTGGTCAGACCAAAGTTCCGGAATTGACGCGGCCACGCGGCATATTTTTTTGTTTTTTGCTGTTTTTTTCTCTTTTTAAGCTTGGATTGTACAGACAAGGTGGGGTACTATTTTGCTTTTTTAGTGTCCTCATGTACAATGGTGTCCTCCATAATTTGCCTTGGTGCTTTTGATCATTTGCCTTGGTGCAATTTCCCATTCCTTGGAGCTCTTTGGTATAAAAAAAAATGAGGAGGTGCGGAAATAGAGGGCGCTGTTGGAGCTACCGCGGAACATTTTGGAAAAAAAAAAGATCGACGCGCATGATGAAAATCGACGCGCGCGCTGACCAGAGACCGACTTATTTTGTTTTGGCCTTACATGTGTATTAAAAGCAACTGTACAGCACTTAAGCATTGTTTTGTTGTCAAGTTTGTACCTCGACTAAAATTGAAGAAAACGAATACTAAGTAAGACTACCTTATAAGTTAAAGACGAAACCCTTGTAAGATACATAATGCATTGAAAAACAAAATATCTAATTTATGGCGCTGTAAGTCTACTTTTAACCTAAAAACTACGTAGGACGCAATATCATACTTGAATTAGACACCTCCTCTGGGTAAAATTACAGATTTGACAATATTAAAGTGTACCCATTTTTCTTTCATTCGGAGAAAATGATATGAGTGCGTCCCCCCAAAAAATGTCCGTCCAACAAAACAAAACGATGACAACAATTTTAATATTTTTTTTTTATTGTGCAGAGACTCCTGATCCTTTATGAATCACACCTCAGTGCACAATTGTCAAATGATCACAACAACATTTTAAGACAGTGTGACCAATAGTCATTTTCAATGCTTTATGTAAGCTGTGTAAAATCCTTTATTTTGTGAAAAATAGGTTGCGGTTGGGTATATGAATCCTTTTCTTGGCCATCACGGTATCAGTCATCGTGGTAAGACCACAATCTGATGATGAAGGGCTAACGATTCTAATCCTGGAGGATTTATAAATAGCAAAGCAAGTCAAGAAATTTGGTCAACGTGTCCGAAAAATGTTGTTTTGATCAAATGAATACTGCGCAGTAAGGCGTGAAGGAAATGGAATAACCACCACAGGGGCTTAGGCCAAGGACTAGGGGTATCTGCACAAAGAATGTTCAAGTGAGAGGACACTTTGTGGGGGCATACTGTACTTTGGTAGAGAATGCAATATTAGTGATAATTGTTGAACAACCTAATACATGTTGCTTACGGTTGGAAATGTTTACGGAGCGCTGCATTTGTGATCTCTTAATACCAGCAATTATGGTTGACAACCGTTTCGTATCAATTTTTGATAATGTAGATTATACAAATGTTTAGTGCACTACATGCCTTATAAGTTATACATTATGGTTTGTAATTATACAAACAAAATGATATGAAGGGAAGCAAACATCTTATTAATAACGTCGCTACCTCCCGACATATTGGACAGCAAAAGACAATCCACAAATGTCCTATCCCCTTACAAACTATGTGTAATTTTTATATTTTTTTATCTACTACGTTTACGAATTTGCAACTCTAGCATCACAGTTTGCATTTTTTTACTATGTCGGTTCTAAAAAGTATTTAACTAATGTATATCCCCCTCATCATTGCTACAATAGTACATTGTAATGCAGACAACTACGCTAAATACATTCCACAGTTCTACAACATCAACTGCATGAAACAAGATTCATAAAAATAAAGGCATATTGTTAACCAAAAAATCCCCCTTTCCCGGATATTTGTTTTTCATAGCGGAACCATAGTGACCGATAGCTAAACCGTATTGTAGTTCCACCGACTAAACGTTTTACTAAATTGGAGGCCAATGGAGAGAAGTATTGTAAAACTCATCGGTCATTGGAATGCATAAAAATATAACCCGGTTCTGTTTGGCTGAATGGAAAAATTGAATGGAATTTAATTATACAAATGATTAAAGTGAATTATTTGAATAATACTCTGAATACTGTAACGTCCGGCCTACAGCAAAGTTTCAACATAAAATACACTACATTACCTCCCCAAAAGTGACCGTCTGAAACACTTTTGTGGAGGTCATACTGTGCTTTATGTTGGTAGTAGAAAACAATATACACACAGTTCAAAACACCATACACTAGATAACATTATTTTGCGACAAATGTAACCCAGGGATGTGATTCTGCTTTTTTTTTTTTTTTGATTCAGCTTTTTGTCCTCACTTGCTGTGTAAAGAAGTTAAAGAGATTTCCAAAGATTAGCTTTTTTTCGCCTTTTTGCAGGTGTCTTTTGTCAGTGTTCACTCACACCCCTGGTAACCATTCTTCAGTCTTATTATTGTGTAAATCACGTCTATTGGATATACAATAATTCGGATATATGTTAAGAGTCCAAAAAGGTTCTAGCAATCGAAATGCACCATTAACCTACTTTAAAATATATTTAATTTGTGAAATTATTTTTAAACAAATAACCTAACAGCGAAATATTCAGAAGGTAAAAACGGCATACTTTGAACAAAATTCAATATTTGAAAATTGCTCAGAAAATATTAAATGTTAACAATTAGCAATTTAATAGCAATCGTTTTATAATTGTATAAGCCTTTCTTTTGTTGTGATGTCGATATGAAATCAAAGCTAGTCTATCGGTTTTGGCATGATAAAAGAAATAGCCATATTATTTACATGAGTTTT